TCAGCGGTTAGAGCGTCAGCCTGTGGACCAGAGAGTCCTGGGCTCGGTTCCTGCTAAGGGCACGAACCTTGGTTGCAGTTTGTCCCTGGCCCTGTTAGGGTCGCATGGATGGCAACCATCCAATGTGTTTCTCTTACATCAATGTTTCTCTCTCTCTCTCTTCCCTCTCTCCCTCCCACTCTATCTGAAGATAAGTGCAAAAAAAAAAAAAAAAAGTTGTTGGGTGAGGATAAAAAAAAGAGAAACTGGAAAGTATGGCCCATTGAAAGGGAGAAAAATCAACAAACCATCTCTGAGGAAGACTTAATGGCAGATATACTAGACAAAGAAAGTAAATAGAAACAAGATGTATGAATACAATGGAAATATCAGGGAAGAGAAATTTACAAAGCAACCAAAGAAATGCTGGAGCTGAAAAGTACAATAAAATTCAGTAGAGGGATTCCAAGGAAGACTTGAGTAAGCAGAAGAAACAATTAGCAAACTGGAAGATAGGATAGTGGAAGTTATTGAGTTTGAGGAACAGGAAGAAAAAGATTGAAGAAGGTGAACAGAGCCTAAAGTACCTGTGGGACCCATGAAGCTGACCAATGTATACACATGGAAGTCCAGGAGAAAGAAGGGGACAGAGTACTTGAAGAAATAATGGGTGAAAACTTCCCAAATCTGATGAAAGTCATGAGTATAAATATCCAAGGAGCTCAACAAATTCCAAGTAGATGAATTTAGAGACCCACATGGACACATTAAAATCTAAATTTTAGCCCTGGCCAGTTTGGCTCAGTGGTTAGAGCGTTGGCCTGTGGTCCAGAGAGACCCGGTGTCGGTTCCCACTAAGGGCACGTACCTCGGTTGCAGTTTTTCCCCAGGCCTGGTTGGGTCGTGAGGGTGGCAACCACTCGATATGTCCCTTTCACGTCGATGCTTCTCTCTCTCTCTCTCTCTCTCCCTCCTACTCTAAACAAAATATGGAAAAATGTCCTTGGGTGAGGATAAAAAAATATCTAAATTTTAAAAGACAATCTGGAAAGCATCAACCGAGAGAATAGTGAGCTATCGTCACATACAAGGCACTCTCAATGAAATTAGCAGCAGATTTCTTATCAGAAACCTCAGAGATCAGAAGGCAGTAAGCTAATATATTCAGTGATAAAGAAAAACAAATTCAACAAGGAATCCTACATGTACCAAAACCATTCTTCAAAAGTGAGAGAAATAAAACATTCCCAAATAAACAAATCTGAGGGAGTTGGTTACCCCTAGACCTGCCCAGGAAGAAACGGTTAAGGGACTTTTGCAGGGTGAAATGAACAGACACTACATAGGAACTCAAAGCCAAAGACAGAAATACAGATCTCAATAAAGGGTAATTATAAAAGCTAATATTTTGTAACAGTGGTTTATAACTAGTTGTTTTCTACATTGTTTAAGAGACATACGTTTAAAAAACCAATTATTAGTTTATAAGTTAGTATTATTGTAACTGTAGTTTGTAACTCCACAAGTTTTCTACAGAATTTAAGAGACTCATGCATTTCAAATAATTATGTGTGGGGGTACACAGTGGATAAAGAAGTAATTTGGGGAAATTCAACAGTGAAAAGGAGTTGGAACAGTTTTTGTATGTTATTGAAGTGAAGCTGGTATAGACTCCAAATACATAATAATTTAGGATGTGGACTCCATGATAACTACAAAGAAAGAAGCTACCGAATATTATTTTTAAAGGACATGAGAAAGTAATGTAAATGTTTCACTACAGGAAAACAACTAAATGCTAAGACACTAAAGCAAGAAATGAAGGACCAAAAAAGCTAGAGTGCATGTGGAAGAGCAAAATGACAGAGATTAAGTCCTTACTTTTCAGTATTTACTTTAAGTGTAAATGAATCAGTTTAATTAAAACACAGATAATTAAGCCCGGCCAGTGTGGCTCAGTGGTTGAGCAGATTTTTTTTCTGTATTAAAGAAAAAAAAAAACAACACAGATTAGGACACAGTAAAAACAGATGATCAACGATATGCTGTCTACAAGACTGACTTAGTTCCAAAGACACAAATAGATTTAGAGCAAAAGGATGGAAAAAATATTATATGCAAGTAGTAAGCAAAGAAAGCAGGGTGGCTATACAGACAAAATAGACTTTAACTTTAAAATGTTGCCAGAGACTGTCCGGCCAGTGTGGCTCAGTTGGTTGAGCATGGACCCATGCACCAAGAGGTCACTGGTTTGATTCCCGGTCAGGGCATATGCCCAGGTTGCAGGCTCGATCCCCAGTAGGGGGCATCCAGGAGGCAGTCAATAGATGTTTCTCTCTCATGGATGTTTCTGTCTCTCCCTCTCCCTTCCTTGCTCCCTTGCTCTCTAAAAATAAACAAAAACATTTTAAAAATTGCCAGAGGAAAAAAAGGACATTAGCTAGTAATAAAAAGTTCAGTAGAGCAAACGGATGTAACAATTATAAACATTTATGCACCTAATGACAGACCATCAAAATGTATGAAGCAAAAATGGACAAAAGTTAAGGGAGAAATAGATAATTCTATAATAATAGTTGGAAACTTCAGTACCCCATTTATGTCAAGGGATAGAAGGAGACAGAAATAAGGAAATAGAGGACTTAATCCAATAAATCTACTAAATCTAACACACACGCAGAACACTCTACCCAACAACAACAGCATACACGTTCTCGTTAAGTGGGCATGGGATATTTTCTGGGATAGACTATATATCAAGCCACAAATTAAGTTTTAATAGATATAAAAATTTTTTTTTTTGTCTTTATTGATTTTAGAGAGAGAGGAAGGGAGAGACAGAGGTAGAAACATCAGTGAGAGAGAACAGCGATTGGCCGCCTCCTGCATGCCCCCACTGGGGATTGGGCCCACAACCTGGGCATGTGCCCTGACTGGGAATCAAACTGGCAACCATTTTGGTGCATGGGTCAATACTCAACCACTGACCAGCACTGGCCGGGCTCAATAGATTTTTTTATTTTTTTTACAAGAGATAAAAAAAAGATAAATTGCCCTGGCCGGATTGGCTCAGCAGTTAGAGCGTCGGCCTGTGGTCCAGAGAGACCTGGGTTTGGTTCCCGCTAAGGGCACGTACCTCGGTTGCAGTTTGTCTCCGGTCTTGGTTGGGTCCTGTAGGTGACAACCACTTGATGTGTTCCTTTCACGTCGATATTTCTCTCTCTCTCTCCCTCCCACTCTATCTGAACAAAAAATAGAAAAATGTCCTCGGGTGGGGATTAAAAAAAAAAAAAAGATAAATTATTTTCTTGGATTGCAAAGGGATTAAGTTAGAAATCAATGTAAAGAAATTTGGAAAATTCACATGCCCATTGGAATTAAACAGTGCATTCTTGAGCAATGAATGGATCAAAGAAAAACAAAGATGCAATGTACCAAACTATTGGATGCACTGAAGGTGATGCAAAGGAGAGAATTTATAGTTATAATTACTTAAAAACAGCAATGATCTCAGATCAGTAACATACCTTGCAACTGAAGGAACTAGAAAATGAGCAAATGAAACCCAATGTTAAGAGAAGAAGGCAAATGATAAAGATTAGAGAGCAGTGAAATAGTGAAAAAAAATAATAGATAAAAATCAATAAAACCAAAAGTTGATTGAAAAAACAACAAAATTGACCAACTTTTAACTAGATTGACAAAGAGAAAAAGACTCAAATTACTAAAATCAGAAATGAACATGGGGACATTACTTTATATTCTATAGAAAGAATACTATGAAGATTGCCCAGCTGGTGTGACTCAATTGACTGAGCATCGTCCCATGGACTGAGAGGTCCCTGTTAGATTCCTGGTCAGGGCACAGGCCTGGATTGTGGGCTTCATCCCCAGTAGGGGGCATACAGGAGGCAGCTGATTGACATTTCTCTCTCTTTAAAAAAATCATTAAAAACATATTTTTAAAAAAGAGTAGTACTATCAAGAATTCTACACCAACAAATTAGATAACTAGATGAAATGGACAAATTCCCAGAAATGCAAAAGCTACTAAGGTTAAATTACAAAGCAATAGGAATTCTGAATAAACCTAGAGCTAGTAAGGAAATTGTATCAGTAATAAAAAAAAAACAACCTAACAATAAAGAAAAGCCCTGGACACGAGGCTCTGCTATGGAATTCTAGCACACATCTAAGGAAGAAATAATACCAGTCCTTCTTAAACTTCCCCAAAATTTAGGAGGTGGGAACACTTCCCGACTCATGCTATAAGACTAACATAACCCGATATCAAAGCGAGGCAAACACTACAGACTATATTTCTTATGAATATTGATGCAAAAGTCCTCAGCAAAATACTAGCAAACTGGCTGGAAATTGAAGCCACAGCCTTTCGGCGTATGAGACAAAGCCCAACCAACAGAGCCATACCAGCCAGGGCAGCTTTGCTACTGATTAGAGTGGTTGTTTAATGTAAATGTTATTTGTCTCATTCCTTGGTCTTGTTTTCTATATCAATAAAATTAAGGTTAGATTTAGATAAGCGGTCCCAAGGAACAAAAGAGACAAGAGCGATACATTAGTGGTAGATTTTTCTATAAAGCTAACTTTCATGACTCATATTTAAAAATATTTTTATATAACTTTTTGAAATGTGATTATTTAGAACTGAGACTCTGGATGTCATTGGACTAGTTTATTCTAATCTATTTCAGTGTTAATATTCTCTGATCTTATGATTTATCCTACCCTTGACTTCCTACATCCCAAGAGAAAGCAATGTCATGAATGTCTTTTGAATCAAAAGCTTAAGGGAACTTAATAGTTGTATTAGAAAAGAAAAGGTTATGCTGCAGTAACCAAAAGCTAAAATTCCTTAGTGGCTTACAATGACCATGCTTATTTCTTATGTTCATTTTAGATCAACAAAGGCTCTTCACCTTAGACGACTTTACAATCGGCCACTGCAACTTCATTTTGACACAAGCTTTAACCACAGAGGTCTCAAACTCGAAACTATTCCTCCTGATTGCATTTCATTACCAAAGCAAATCCCATGGACACTCCCGAATTCAAGAGGACCGGATGTGTATTTCACCTGTGGGAAGGAGCACTGAATATTTGTGAACAAGTAAATGTCCTGTGGATGCATGTGAGACAAGGACTAAAAACTAACAGGAAAGTTAATTTTGTTCAGAGCGAAAATTTGAAAAACAAAAATAAGAGTAACCCTTACTACTTCTGCAGTCTTCTACACATATTACTGTTAGCTATACAAATTTCCAGATACCACAATATCTTCACGTACAATATTTTATTAGTTTTTTATTTTTTAAATAACTTTTATTGATCTTAGAGAGAGAGGATAGGTGAAGGAGAGAGAGAAATACCAATGAGAAAGAACATTGATTGGCAGCCTCCTGCATTCCCTACACTGGGGATTAGGCCCACGATCGGGAATCGAACTGGCAACCTCTTGGTGCATGGGACAGTGCTCAACCACTGAGCCACACTGGCCGGGCTTCATTAATCTTTTATGAGAACCCGGTGACAGAGACTGATAAGGCTGGATTAAAAGCTCATTATGGAGTCACACTGCTTGGTTTTGGATTTTCAGTCTCAACATTTACTAAAATTTGACCTTGGACAAATTATATTATTTTATTTCTTGGTGCCTCAGGTTCTTCCTTTTGAAACTGGGTGCAGTCATAACTCTACTTTGCATTTCTGTATGTGTGAGAAATAAAGTGATAATACATGGAAATAGCACACAGTAATACTCCATGCACATTGTTAGTTGTTTCTAGTTATTTTTGTCATATTTATCAGAAATACTATTATTCCCATTTTCTGAATAAGGATCTACATGTACTCTATAGACTTAATGGTTTTCTTCCTGATTCACATAATCAATGACAAAGCTTAGATGCTTGGTTTGGAGACTTTGTTTACATTCTAGTCACACTTATTTAACATTATATTCTAATCTGTCTTTAAGGTTTTTTAGCAATTTTTTTCCTAATAGATTAAATGGTTCAGAAAGGAAAGAGTTGTTCAGATTAGGAGAGGCTCCTCAGAGAAAGGAAGACAAAGTGAAAGTGAACTGACTACAGTAATTAGAGAGGATGCGGGGCGGGTCGGTGGGGGTGGGGAAGGGAGGGGAAAACCAGGGTTTGCTCAGGAGACAGAACTTATTTGATGTCATAGTGGAGCTCGGGTTAGACTTTGCACAAATTGGATTTGGATAATTCGAACAGGGTCATCAGAGCAAGTACTGAAAGGAAGAGGATTATAGAAGTCTTAAATTCAGCATTTTTTTTTTTTTTTTCTAATTGAAGAGAAAAAGAGAACTGGAGTGTGTGTGTGTGTGTGTGTGTGTGTGTGTGTGTGTGTGTGTTTGGCTCTATAATTGGAAAAGACTGAACTGAGTATTTGAGATTGCTGACTTCAAGAAGTTGATGTGGTAAGTTATTTTAATGTGTTTTTGAGTATCATATAATCCCTTTCTCCCCCCCTTTTTTCTTGAAACAAGTGGTTTTCTGGCATGTCTTTCGATACAGTTCAAAGATCCACAGTCTATTTTAGGTTTGCTGGCAACTCCAGTTTCATTTCCAACAGCACAAAATGTACTTACTATTTATATTTGAAATGCCTCTGAACCTTCACTCAAATGTTTCTTCCATTTCAGAGATCTGATAGGCAAACTTGATTATCTGCTTTCTTTACTCTAACTTCACAGGAGACAGATCCTGAGCTCAGGTTCATTCCTCTTTTTTCCTTTTCCTTTTTTTTTTTGGTGGGGGTGGGGCTCATAGGTGACAGAGTATTGTTTTAAGAAAATGCACATGTGATTCAATGTAAAATTTAGAGGGATTATGACTTTTTTCAGTAAGAGAATCCACTACCTTGACCAAATTCTATAGTAATATTACTATCCAAAGCACATATTGAAAACTGGGAAAACAGAAAAAAATGAAAACACTTGGAGAGAAATATAAGCAATAAAATAACCGAATTGATGTGGCATGGAAGGGATTTCTATTTTAAAAATGTAATGATATTTTCATTAAATCACTTGCTATTTATGAAGTATCTAGACTAATAACTACAAATGACAGGAGTAGATAACTTGTCTCTTCTTGTTTAACGTTGATTTATTTGCATATTAAAATACATATTTGTATCTGCCTGAGATAGGAGACTGCTTGGGATAGGAGTAAACAAAAAACACACCTACACGCATCAAGCATATCATTTGATGGGGGGGGGGGGGCAGGGAATGGTCTGTTTCCTTAATTCATGGATTTTCAACTTCCAAATATTTTCTTAAATCTTAATGTAGAAATTTAAGTAACTGAAAATTTGGGCTAGGGTGAAAAACAGACCTGAATTGAAAATCCTGTTACTTTTTGAAGGCATTACAAATGTTTGCAAATAGATGGCTAAAACAAATTTTGACTCTCTATTCAGTTGGCCCTGTTTGTTATTTTCCTACTATCCTTGAAGGACTTCAGAAATAAAATCTAATCTTAAATAAATAATACATGATTATGGACTCCTTTCTATGGATATAAAATGCCAGATGTTTAAAAGGTTAATATTCCCTCAATAAGGAAAACATTAAGTTTTAAAAGTTCAGATTCTTTTCCTGGAAAATTTCGTGACTTTTCTTTACCTGTGAACACTATTATTGATAATAATTTTCAGATTATGAATAAACATTTTGTGCTCAGTATTTATTATGTTAACATTTACTTTGTAAAATGTTTCTTACAGGAATATAAATAGTTTCAGGAAAGAACACTGACAACTTCAAAGCAAAATGAAGTTCTTTCTGTTGCTCTCAGCCATCGGGTTCTGCTGGGCTCAGTATGCCCCAAATACCAAACCTGGACGGACATCTATTGTTCATCTGTTTGAGTGGCGTTGGGTTGATATTGCTCTTGAATGTGAGCGATACTTAGCTCCCAGAGGATTTGGAGGGGTTCAGGTGGGTATTGTTCAGAGTGTAAATTGTGGAGTTTGCTGTCGATATAGGATTTGTGTCTGTGAAGCTGGGAAATTTTACTTCATAAATAAGTATTCGAAGTAAGGAGTTTTATGAGGAACATAAAAAAATTTAGTATTGTTGGCAATTTTATGTTTTGTTTGATATATTCTTTCTTCAGCAGGATATTTCCAATATACTGTTAACAGTTTCAAGTGGTTATTTAATAATGTAGCAGTTTATACAAAGACTCAGAAATAATTTTAGGTCATTGATTATTTTCTAGAATATCCAGTGATGTAAAGTAAGCCACAATTTGATACCTAAGATTGTTTTATTTGTAGATCTCTCCACCCAATGAAAATGTTATAATTAATAACCCTTCAAGACCTTGGTGGGAAAGATACCAGCCAATTAGCTACAAGTTATGTACAAGATCAGGAAATGAAGCTGAATTCAGAGACATGGTGACCAGATGTAACAACGTTGGTGTGAGTGAATTAGTTTTCTTTAAAAATATTATGTAAAAATATATTTTCTGTCTTCTGCCTCTTGCTCCTTTTAAGAACATATTTATTTTCCATGTTTTTTCTTTTACTTTATACTTTGTAACTAAAATCTAATTGTTGCTTATTGTTCAGTTCTTAAAATCTCTGTATATGTGCCATTTTTCTATTAAAGATGTAAGTCAAAGTTTAAAGTCATCTTGCTCATAAAGCAACTTTTAATCCTTATAACTATACAGATTTCTGGGGAATACTTTCTAGTTAGGAATTAGAAATTCCAGTTATAATATTTTCTGTGACTTTTATGTGGCTTGTGTCTCCATCCATAATTCCTGAGTCTTCTTCTCCATAGGTTTTTCAATGATAAATAGATATAGCCCCTTTGATGAGGAACATAGTGAGAGACAGTATTTACCATCCTTCTTCAGATGCTAAGTAGATAGCAGAATCTGACTGCTTTCTGAGGATGACCCATGGAAATGCAAAAATCAGTAATCTCTCCATTCTCAATTTACTCTTACCTCCCCCAATAAAGGCTTTTTGCATTTTTTTATAGTTATGGTACTTTCTTTCTTTTTTTTTTTTTTTTATCCTCACCTGAGGATATTTTTACATTTTTTTTTTTTTTTTTTGTACAGATAGAATGGGAGGGAGAGAGAGGAAGGGAGAGAGAGTGAGAAACATCGACGTGAAGGGACACATCGAGTGGCTGCCACCCGCACGACCAACCAGGGCCGGGGACAAACTGCAACCGAAGTACGTGCCCTTAGCGGGAACCGAACCCGGGTCTCTCCGGACCGCAGGCCGACGCTCTAACCGCTGAGCCAAACTGGCCAGGGCGAGTTATGGTACTTTCTGGTTCTATTAGTTGATCATATATATAAACATTTCACCACATGGCTAGGATGCATATAGATATTCAGTTGACCTTGATTTCCTTTCACACTTTACTTTTGGTCTTCTAGGAAGATAAGTTATAAAATAACAAAGAGATGTTTAGAGTGTTATTAACATGCTGTAAACTTTAACCAATAATATTATAGATTTTACTTCTCTATAAATCAAACTGAAATAGAAACATTGCCTTCAGGTTCATATCTACGTGGATGCTGTGATTAACCATATGTGTGGAAATGGTGTGAGTGCGGGAACAAGCAGTACTTGTGGAAGTTTCTTCAACCCCGGAACTAGGGATTTTCCCACAGTCCCGTTCTCTGCTTGGGATTTTAATGATGGTAAATGTAAAACTGGAAGTGGAGACATTGAGAACTACAATGATCCTTATCAGGTAATTTTTTAAAAAACAGTGATCTGAATAAAGAACTATTTATGTCTTTATCTGCAAACAGGGCTCCAAGTCTGACTCTTTAAAAATAAGAAACTCATGCAGCCAGTGTGGCTCAGTGGACTGAGCATCGTCCCATACACCAAGAGGTTACCAGTTTGATTTCCAGTCAGGGCACATGCCCTGGTTGTGGGCTCGATCCTCAGGAAGGGATTTGCAGATGTTTCTATCTCTCTCTCCCTTCCTCTATTTCTAAAAAAAATCAATAAAAGCATATTTTAAAATAAATAAAAATAGAAACTCAAATCAACATTTAAAACACTCCCTCTAATTTAATCATTCCCAATTAAAAAGCGCATCCACTTTATTTCCTACACCCTCCATTTTTATAATAGAACATGTCTCAAGGGTATGTCCAGACTACAGTGTCCAATGCAAAGAAGACACTATAGAAACACCCATTAATGAATGAACAGCAATCACATGGATTTTCAGGTCAACAGGATATTTTATGTCTCAATCACAACCTTTTTGCCTCAATAGGTCAGAGACTGTCGTCTGGTTGGTCTTCTTGACCTTGCACTGGAGAAAGACTATGTGCGTTCCAAGGTTATTGAGTATCTGAACCATCTCATTGACATCGGTGTGGCAGGTTTCAGAATCGACGCTTCTAAGCACATGTGGCCCGGAGACATGAAGGCTATTCTGACTAAGCTGCATCAGCTGAACACAACCTGGTTCCCTGAAGGAAGTCAACCTTTCATTTACCAGGAGGTACATTGATACATACATGTGCATATGTGGCATTGTTTAACTCATTAGAAAACAAGGCAGGTTTAACTAAAAATACAAATCCTGTAGGTTAATAACTGAATCACGTGTACAGAACAGGGCTCAGCTGTGCAGACCAGTGCTCTTTAATCTCCTTTTGTTCAGAGGCCCTTCTTTGTCGGACTCTGACTCTTGAACTCTTTCTCACTAGGGGTTTTAAGGAAGTGCAGAGATTTTGTTTAGGCTGCAGATATCTCTTTGTCATTTACCACTTCCCCAGAGCCCGTCAGAGAAGACAGATAATGTAGTTGTTGTCTTGAGCCAGTCTATGTGAGTTTAAAGCTTGTCTCTAGCATTGTGAGCTGTGTTCTTTTAGGCAAATGGGTTCATCTCCCTAGGCAACAGTTTTTTCATGTGAGGAAAAGGGATAATGATAATAGTTATATCTTTGTGGTCAGAAAATTAGATGAGTTAATATTTTTCAAGCACCTAGACAGATATGATTGCTATGTAAATGTTACTTATTTATGTGCAAGACTCAATTAGGTCAGTGTTTTTCACAGGCCAACAGCTCACTTTGTCATGTTACTTCTAATATTGTAGTAAATACTTCAACAAACAAACAGGAAGGATCTTGGTATAAGGAAAATCACTTGGGGTATATCAAATAACATAAATAGTTTAAAGCCATTTTCTATATGATATTCACTTGTTGGTTACAATTCTAACCTAAAATAATATTTTCCCCTATATTTCTTCTAGGTAATTGATCTGGGTGGTGAGCCAATTAAATGCAATGAGTACTTTGACAATGGCCGTGTGACGGAATTCAAGTATGGTGCCAAACTAGGCACAGTTCTGCGCAAGTGGAGTGGAGAGAAGATGGCTTACCTGAAGTAAACGAAACTTGATTTGTCCTCTGAATCATTTTACAGACTTACTATATATCATATTACCCCAATATGTTTTCCTTTAAAAAAAAATTTTTTTTTTGTATTGATTTTTAGAGAGAGAGGAAGGGAGAGGGAGAGAGAAATGGAAACATCGATGAGAGAGAACATCAAATGGCTGCCTCCTGTATGACCCCCACTGGGGATCAGGTCCACAGCCTGGGCATGTGCCCTGACCAGGAATCGAATCGGCGACCCCTTGGTGCATGGGTCAATGCTCAGCCACTGAGCCACACCGGCCAGGCCAATATGAGTTTTTTTATTAAGATCTTACTTAAACCCCTTTCAGGGATTCAGTTACCAGTAACAAGTGTTATGATTCCCCAGACTTGAATGGACTATCTTTATTATTTAGAATGTCCATCACAAGGAAGTATGGCTGAAAACCCAAAACATAACCTGGAGATTTTAATCTATGCATTATATGTAACTATACTAGATTTGAGTGTTTACATATGACCTGTGAAGTCCAGGTTATTATTAAAATGATTCTGTCATTTAGAAAGTCCCTACAATGTGGCCATACTATGGAATTTACATCTGTTATATCAGTCAACTTCAGATATTGAAATGTTTATATTGTAAGTGGATAATACTGAAGTCTTTTTTTCACCCAGTTTGCTATTCTGTACAAAATATGAGTTGGAAGTTGGCCCTTCTGAGGTCCAGCTAAATTATAATAGACTAAGACTTCTAAAAGGACTTTTTCAAATAAGAAAAATACATGTAACTGGAATGTAATACAAATAATTTATGCAAGTATACATATATGGGATGTATTTGTAGATAATATATCTATATATAATATATGTACAGAGGTGAGCAAAAGTAGGTTTACAGTTGTGAGTTTATTCCTTATTTACTCATTAATTATTGTATTATTTATTTATATTATTTCCATACAGACCGCTACCCATCTATTCTTGCCCACCCCTATATATATAAGCCTTACAGAAGAAACCCTTTCAATTAAAGAATTTCATCTTAGGATTCTGTACTGAAAGAAATTCATGTTTAGTGTACTCTAAAGCGATGGTAAAAGAATGTGTGTGTGTGTGTCTGTGTGTATTTTTCACAGGAACTGGGGAGAAGGCTGGGGCTTCGTGCCTTCCGACAGAGCGCTCGTCTTTGTGGATAACCATGACAACCAGCGGGGACACGGAGCTGGAGGAGCGTCTATCCTCACATTCTGGGACCCTAGGTGGGAAACAGAGTTGTCCATTTTATGTTCACCAACTTTTAAACAATACTAAAAAGATTGCTTTCTTTTATGATAATATCATTTTGTAACTTGCAGACTATACAAAATGGGAGTAGGATTTATGCTCGCTCATCCTTATGGATTTACACGCATAATGTCCAGCTTCCGTTGGCCAAGGTATTTTGTGAATGGAAAAGTAAGTGTTGGTGTCATACAAAGTATCTTTTTCTCAATAAAAAGAAGGCAGTTGTATTCTAATTTTATATGATGCTATTTCATTTATTATTTGTTTATCAAATATTTAAGTGTAACCTGATGCAGGCCTTTTAACAATGCAGTGGATACTAAAAAACTAAAATTCACGGTCTTTGTGGTTAAATGGTATGGAGTGAGTATAATTTGTACGTCTCATAAGTACCTACTTTATAGGGCTGGTATGTGAATTACAAATTAACACTTATAAGAACCTAAAAACAGTACCTGCCCATAGTACAAGTAATATAAACACTGGTTAAGTACATTTATTTATTTATTTATTTATTTATTTATTTATTTATTTATTTATTTATTTATTTATTTTACGTGCCCCTAGTGGGCTGGTTAAGTACTTTAAAAAACATTTCTATGGGAGGCAAAAAAATCTAGTTGAACTAAGGATAAATAGGCAAAGTATTTTATAAGAAGAAAGCAAATATATGTATTAAAGAAGAGAAATTTGCAAACTTTACTGGGAAAGATGTAGATAAGAAAAATATTTGGTAAAGACATTAATCTGAGTAAAAATTTTTAAAAAGGAACTGAAAAATAAAGTTTTGATGTATTTAGAAAGTTAATGGAAAGTTTTCTTTTAAAAGTGAATATTTCAGGTGCAGCTTTGCATAGCGACTTCATACCTAAAATGGAAAATCCTCTGTACTATAAGCGAGACAGATATTATCTAGTTCCTTCTAGATTCCTTTCAATCTGAGAAAAACTCATTCTGTTGTTAGACAGGTTTAATATTTAGATGCCCCTTTATATTGAGCCAACTTATAACCTCCACTAATTGGTCTTATTTCTAATGTCAGGAGTCATTGACCTTGTGCTTTTCCCCTTTTCCTATAACATTTCCACTTTTCCCAAATGTCTGCATGCTAAAAACTCTATTTTATTAATTCTTCATCACATGATGTGATTTTTAAGACAGACACCGATAACCCTCCTGGACATAATCTGTTTTTTTCTACATTAATTTTGCAAATTACCAATCAGAAAAACACAATTTTATTTTTTTTATTTATGTATTTTGTTAATCCTCACCTGAGAGTATTTTCCCATTGATTTTTTAGAGAGAGTGGAAGGGAAAGAGGGAGGGAGGGAGAGAGACAGAGGGAGAGAAACATCAATATGAGAGAGAGAGATTGATTGGTTGGTTGCCTCCTGCAAGAGGATTGAACCTGCAACCCAGGTATGTGCCTTTGACTGGGAATTGAACCCAAGACCCTTCGGTCCCAGGGCTGATGCTCTAACTGCTGAGCCAAACCAGCCAGGGCAGAAAAACACAATTTTAAACATCTGGTGAAATCAGTAAAGAGTATTGTGATGTGTTGCTTAATTCATTTATCCAAAAGAAAGAATAAAGACCATTTCATTCTTGTGTTTAGCAATTACCATGTTCCAGACATTTTCACATATATTATTTTATTTTCATAGCAGCAAACAATACCCCTATTTTACAGATGAGGAAAATGAGGTCCAGAGAGGTTATGTGTATTGACTGCGTTTTCTTAGTCATAATAAAATGTTTCCGTCCTGCTGTTTCTGACACTAAACTCCCAGCTATTTCAATGATGTCACGTTGCCTGCAGTGCTATTAAAAAGACTTTACAATTCCTTGGAAAGAGAATGAGAGGGAGGGTAAAAAAGTTTTATCTCTGAATTCTGGCCATAGAGAATGAGAAGTTGGAAGAAGGTAATGAGAACTTGGTAAAGGGCTATACCACCCCCGAAGGAGCTAGATTTGAAATGAAGACACTCCAGAAACACAAATAAGACAGATTGGGTTTGGTGTACAGGAGAACACCAAAACTATTTCATACTAAAAATCTGAGCATTTTTTATTTTGTTTTTGCTAATTAAGGATATTAATGATTGGACTGGGCCACCAAATAATAATGGAGTAATTAAAGAAGTCACTATTAACCCAGATACTACCTGTGGCAATGGCTGGGTCTGTGAACATCGGTGGCGTCAAATAAGGTGAGGTGACTTATTTAGAAATATCCTCTAATAATAAACTTTCTTAACATTTTACTTTAAACTGTTGTTTATTCATAGCAATCATACCGTGTTTTGTTTCTAGGAACATGGTTATGTTCCGTAATGTAGTTGATGGCCAAGATTTTACAAACTGGTGGGATAATGGTAGCAACCAAGTAGCCTTTGGGAGAGGAAACAGAGGATTCATTGTCTTTAACAATGATGACTGGTAAGTAGATATCTATTAGAAATTATACATTATACTAATGTGTTCTGGGGTTAGTCATTTCTCTTGCTGCTCACTTTTTTTTATATCTGAAAAATTCTTTAGTCCATGTATTAAAAAACATAGAGATTGGAAAAGAGCCAGAAAAAAAATGATAATGGCTTTCACCCTTTTGATCTTCTCTTGATAAGGGCTTTCTGCTCTAAGCAGAGTGATTTTGTGCACCTTGCATATCATGTACAGATATGAGGCCTGTGTATTTGCTCACACCTCACATAAAACACAGTCATTAGTATACAGGTTGTGACATTACAAGAAGAATGTGTCATACTGACCCCCTTTATTCAGATAATGGAAAACTCCTGCCTTGGCACTGAAATACCTTTTCTGTAGCTGTTTTTCTCAACTACTCTTATATCTGGTTCTTTGGTCTGTTTCTTCACTTCCTCTGTCCGTGACAATATATTTTTTAAGCGTATGTGTAAAGAATACGTATCTCCTGGTCAGTGGTTCGCCTCAGGAGAGCTTTGAGCTTTCATTGGAGACGAGAAGGAGGCTTAGGAGATCTCTGTGCAGGAGGTTGAAATGTCTCCGTCCCAGGGCAACTTCTGCCTCTACTTAGCTCATTCCAACCTAAATTATATTTTACTGACAAAAATCAATAAATCAATAAATCAAATATATCTCTTCTCCCCAAAAGAATCCCTGGCTAATGCTTTAATTTATATCTTTTGTGGATGAGAGAACCATAACAAATGTATGAGACAGCTTCATATTTAAAACTATATACTTCTTCAAAGAAATATTAATTCTTTTTATTTCCAGCCCAAAATAATTTTAGCCTCTTGGGGAAAAATAGAGAATGTTTTAAAGAAATAATCAAATTAAAATTTTTGAAAGAATTTGTATTTTCTTAAGTTCAAATGAAGACAGATTTAAACTATTTGTGTTTATCACAGAAAGTACTTTTATCTAAGGGGGTCAGTGCAGCTCAAATCTTCAGTGATAGTCCTCCACCATCATTTTTGTAATAATTGCTCAGTCTTCTGTAAGGCAACTTCTGTATCTGGGAAAACAATTAACGTCCACCAAGAGGTCTTTGTGTTTGGATTTTCTTCTCACTGAGACCTGGACTGTTCCCTCTAACACGAAGAGCAGCTTTTGCTCTCGAGATAATCTGTATTCTTGCTTTTAACTGTGTTGAATTCAAGTTAAATCTTCACTTTTATTTTATAGGCCATTATCTGTATATTTGCAAACTGGTCTTCCTGCTGGCACATATTGTGATGTTATTTCTGGAGATAAAGTTGATGGCAACTGCACAGGAATTAAAATCTACGTTTCTGGTGATGGTAATGCTCACTTTTCTATTAGTAACTATGCCGAAGATCCATTTATTGCAATTCATGCTGAATCCAAATTATAAAAATTGAAATAAATACATATGTTCCTAGAGAAATAACCAAGTGTATTTCTTTTTTTTTGTACATATATAAATTCCTGTAATTTATTAATTTTGTTGTAGAGCTATAATAAGTAGTCAACTTGAAATCTCAGAAAAGCATAAAAACACATAATTATGCAATTATAAGATAATTACCATCAACAGTTTGTTATATTTTAGAAGAGTCACATTAACCTATTTATGGGGATTGAGGGCTGGGTGAAAAAGGTGAAGGGATTAAGAAAAAAATACTCACAGACACAGAAGAGTCTGGTAATTATCAGAGGGAAAGGTGGGGCGGGGGTGTTGAGGGAGGTGGAGGAGGGTGTAGGGGGGATAAATGGTGATGCAAGTAGCCTTGACTTTGGGTTGTGAACACAATTCAGTATACAGATGAGGTATTATGGACTTATACACTTGAAACCTATGTAATTTTATTAACCAATGTCACTCCGATAAATTCGATAATTTTTTTTTAATTTAAAAGACATTTCTAAGAATTCTGATAGGCATCTTGATAAATATGTTTTTTGACATTAATATTAGTTGCCTAGCTATGGTTGGTTAATGTATGTTTGTATTTATTTCTCCCATACCGTGTTTCTAGCAATTAGTTAGGGATAGCTGATTTAATGATGGTTTCTATAAAAGTTAATAGCATTTGGGTGTTTTAACAATATGAAAGCCCTTTCACAATTAATAATGTTAAAAGATAAACTTAAATTATGCAATCTATAATTCTTAATTATATGGAACTCATACGAATCTGTTTTTCTACATTCTTTCCCCGTGTCTTTAACTTGATGTTGTCGGGCTTTTTGTTCAACCTCTTCACCCCCAATATGGATGGACGTTTATTTTGGGCTTTCTTGGCCCCAGATGCTCCAGGTTTTCCTTCTGATTCTCCTTCTTCTTGACTTTAAATGTGGGATTTGTTAAGGGTCTCATCTAGGACTTTTTATGACTCTTAGTTCTTTTTCTTATGGAAAAGCATGAGAAAATAGAAGCCATAGCACAGAGACTCTCTTCTTTTTACCTACAAATCTATTCCTTGCCCTGATTATGTCCTTAACTCCTGTCAAAATGAAGAAAGTGCACGCCGTCCTTCTATCACGTGTGTTAATAACACTGTGCCACTCCATTGTTATCTTTTTGAGGACTTTATTTTGCAGATTATTTTTTCTCTTGATTTAATAATCTTTTCCATTCTGCTAGATTACTCCCTTCGGATAACATGTATTAGAGTTTTCTAGACAAAGAAATTCATGACTCCCATTTATTTGCTTCCCTTCCTAGTCAATATTTTTGTGTGTGTGTTTTCATCACAAAGTTATAACATTTGGGTGGTTTGAACCATGTGAAAGTCCTTTTATAGTCTACATCCTCAGCACCATTTTTCATCTCTTCACTGTCCAGTTTCCAACATGCTCATTTCAGTGATTCTTCTCTTGTCAATTTTATTAAAAACATTTGTCACTCATCCAGTGTACTGCTCTACCTTTATCTTATATTCATTCACAACAGAATTCAAAATGCTGGGCCACTCCTCTTCCTCAGCCCCTTGGCTCTTGGTTCTTCAGTCTCTTAGTTTTTCTTTGCTCTCACTGATTGCTCTTTTTCAGTTGTTTTTACTGACTCATCTCTGTTTAATCTAAGGGCTCATTTGGATGTGTATTTGTACTGTTTTACCCCTCAGTCTATTGAAACTTTAGTCTCAGGACAGTACTTGGCACACATTATATAAGAGTTCAATGATTATTTGTAAAATAAATTGAGATAATGAGAGGAAGAAAAAATATATACCTTTTTTTTTTTTTTTTTGAGGAGAGAATTATTAATAAAAATGTGGCCTTGGAACAGAGGTATTCTTTTTATTCTCTCTCCAATTCTTTCTAAGTTTTATTCCTAGTTAACCCTGATTTCTCAGGTCATAAATGTCATGGGATATCAATAGAAGCAAAGAAAGGATTTGACAAAACTTTCATGGTTAAAAACTCTCAATAAATTAGATATGGGAGGAATGTATCTCAGGATAATAAAGGCCATCATGACAAGCCCACAGCCAACATTATATTCAGTGGTAGAAAGCTAAAAGTTTTTCCTTTAATATTAGAACCAAGACAAAGATATCTTCCCTCACAGCTTCTACTTAACACAGTACTGAATGTCCTAGCAAGATCAGTTAGGCAAGACAAAGAGATAAAAGGCATCCAAATGAGAAAGGAAGAAGTAAAATTGTCTCTGGTTCCAGATGACATAAACTTATAATGGAAACTCCTAAAGATTCCACCAAAATGTGTTTGAGCTAATAATAAAATTGAGTTTAAGTTGCAAGGTACAAAATCAATGTGCAAACGTCAGTTGTGTCTCTATACACTAACGATGAACTATCAGAATGAGAAATTAAGAAAATAATCCCATTTACTATAGCATAAACAATAAAATACTCATGAATAAATTTAACCAAAGATTTGAAAGATTTATACACTGAAACTATAAGACACTCATCAAAGAAATTGAAAAAGACACAAATACATGGAAAGAAATCCTGTGTTCTTGGATTGGAATAATTACTATTGTTAAAAATGTTCAGACTGCCCAAAGTGGTCTACAGATTCAGTGTCATCCCTGTCAATATCCCACTGGCATTTTTCACAGAAATAGGAAAAAAACCCTAAAATTCATATGCAACCAAAAAAAACAAAAACAAACCAGAAAAGCAAAAGCAAATTGAGAAAGATAGACAAAACTGGGACATCATGACCTGAGACATCATGTCCTGGCCCGTTTGGCTCAGCAGTTAAAGCGTCAGCCCACAGACCAATGAGTTGTGGGTTCAATTCTGGTCAAGGGCACACATCTTGGTTGTGGTTCGTCCCCAGTCCTGATTGGGTCATGCAGGAGGCAACCAGTCAAGTGTCTCTCTCATATTGGTGTTTCTGTCTCTCTCTCCCTTTCTTCTACCCACTCGGTCTGATGATAAACAGAAAAATATCCTTGGGTGAGGATTAAAAAAAAACTAGAGACATCACACTGCCTTATCGCAAACTATATAACAAAGTTATAGTAATTAGAATAGTATGGTGTTGGCATAAAAAAGACACATATAAAAACAGAATAGAGAGACATAAACCTACTTATATACACAGTCAACTAATCTTTAGAGAATAGAGAGACATAAACCTACATATATACACAGTCAACTAATCTTTGATAAGAGTGTCAAGAACATACAGTGATGAAAGTCTCTTCAATACATAGTGCTGGGAACACTGGATAAGCACAGGCCAAGAGAAATGAAACTAGAATCCATATTACAGTACTTACAAAAGTTAACATGAAATAGATTAAAGACTTACATGTAGAACCTGAAACCATAAAGTTCTTAGAAAAAAACATGGGGAATAGTTTCATGACATTGGTCCTGGCAGTGATTTCATGGATATGATACCAAAAATACAGGCAAAAATAAACCAGTGAGACTACATCAACTAAAAAGCTGCCACTGAACAAATGAAGCAGTTCATAGAATAAGCAAACAACCTATGGAATGGGTGAAAATATTTGGAAACCATGTATCTGAAAAAAAGGTTAATATCAAAAATATATAAGGAAATTTTAAGACTGAATTCCAAAACCTAAATAACCCATTTAAAAAAATGGGTGAAGGACCTGAATAGACATTTTTCCTAAGAAGACATCCAAATGGACCATAGTTACATAAAAAGGTGCTCAACATTACTAATCATCAGGGTAATGCAAATCAAAACCACAATGAGATACTACTATACACCTGTTGAGATTTTTATTATTGAGAAGACAAGAGATAAATGTTGGTGAGGATGTGAAGATAAGCTGGTGGGAATATAAGTTGGTATACCCATTATAGAAAACAGTATGGAGGTTTCTCAAAAAATTAAGAATAGAACTACCATGCAATCCAGCGACCCCACTCCAGGTATATATTCAAAGGAAATAAAATTGTATCTTGAATTGATATCTACACTCGTGTTTATTGCAGCATTACTCATAATGGTCAATATATGGTAAGTGCACCTAGATGCTGGAACAGTTTTTGATATGGTAACAACCTAAATGTCTGTCAACTGATGAGTGGATAAAGAAAATATATATAATGGAATATTACTCAGCCATAAAAGGAAAGAAATTCTGCCATTTCTGAGAAATAAGTATGAACTTGGAGTGCATTATGCGAAGGGAAACAGCTAGACGAAGACAAATACTATGGTATTACTTACACGTAGAATCTATATAAAATAAAAGTTGACCTCATAGAAACAGTAGAAATGGTGTTGTCAGGGCCCGGGGGGAGGGGGAGACAGAGAGATGAAGGGCAAAGGGTACACATTTTCAGTTACAGAATGAGTAAGTTTTGAGGATCTAATATACAGCAAAGTGACTATAATTAATATGGTAGTGCACTTGAAATTTGGTGATAGTACATCCTAATTGTTCTTATGAAAATGTTAATTGTGAGGTGATGGATATATTAATTAACCTGATCTTGGTAATAATTTCACAACATGTATGTACACTTTAAATATACACAGTCTTATGTGTCAATTATTTCTCAATAAAGCTAGAAAAAAATAATGGGGAAGTCAAGTACTTTTGCAAAATGCCACCATGTGTTTAGGATTTTAAGGCAGAAGAGCAGTCAGTATTTTGGTAAGCTGTGCCCTTAGTATGTCAGCCTGAAACTGTCCAAAGAACTGGTCCAGGCTGCTGCCAATTGAGCCAACTAAGCAGAGACGAGGCTGAATCATGGGTGAGCGTTCATTCCAATATTGCCCGCGGTATGGAAGAGCAGTGAGCCACCCCGTAAAATCTGCTCTGGCCCCCTCGCTTGCCAGCTGCTTTTAAATGGTCGAAAAACAATGACTCTATGAGAAAGGGCAGTTAAACAAAAAGGGAAAAAAATGGGTAAAATGTTTACAGGCAAGTGGGGAGGAATGTGGCAGGGGGCTGCCGGGGCTGGTCG